AAGAAACATTCTATGAAAATCGCATTTCAAAATCACACCATACAGGGGGAAAAAAAAAATAATGAAAGAGCAGTATCTCTGCAATAATAGCTCACACTTCTTGGGAATTTATTTAAAACTACAATACAACATGATTTTTACATTGACATCTGCATTTTGTTCATATAATAAACGACTTCAGGGATGCATACTGCCAACCAAATATAGGCCACATATTTTTACTAATAAAATACTGCTTATTGGACCCAGTGACATGCAGCTACCAAACACAAAGCTTTATGGTCTTGACCTAAGTATATCTTAGTTTTAGGTAAATGAGAAACAAACCAGAGTTTCTACTTGCAGCAGAGAAAGCATACTGTGACCCTGGCTTGCGAAACGTCAAGTGGTTCACAGAAACAGCCTACCCACAGACCTATAAATCCACGCCTTATTCTTTAGTTTTAATATAGATTCACCACCTTCAGCTTTTTTTAAAAAAAACTATGCATTTTAGAACTGTCTGCTGACTTACATTAAACACAGCAACTCGTTACTTCTGTAAAGGGCTAAATATTGTAAATGTATGAACGACTACAAGTTATACCAATTCCAATTTTTCAGGTAGATAGAATGAATAAATTAATTTTTCACAAGTAATCACAAGCATTCAGCACCAATGCTTGGGTTAAGAAAAATATTTAAAATCCTTTGCTTGAAAGTAAACATTTATCTTAATTTGCTGAGTTAATTGGGCTGAAATATTACATTATTTACTACTAAAATGAAATAGAATAAATTAGCACTGACAGTTTATGTTACCAGCATGCTGGTCTTCCATCAGTCTCAATTTAAACCACTCTACAATAAATCCAGATGACGCAGGTTAATGTACATGAATTGATTTCCCCCATTCCTGTCTGTTCCCATGCAGAACAGAACTGAAATACTAATTTAATACTTTAACACATGAAGCATTCTTTACTGATGTAGAACAGTTTTTTAATTCAACTATTAATCTGAAAGTAAAATTTTCCTATATAAAGTATTTTGTGAAATTCCCTAAAGGTTATCTTAGTGTTAAATTTTGTTCTTATGGAATTGTTGAAGGATGCCAATACCACTTTTGTGACAGTGAATTAAAATGAATTATCTATATATAACTTCTTATCTATTGTAAGTACTGGTACATTTTTTTCTTCATTCAATTTTTAAGAAGTATGTCAAATTTATTAACCTGATGAGCTGTAGGAAACTATTAGATAGTATTGTTTCCACTAAACATGACAAGAAGTTATTTAACTCAGTGGCTAAGTATTTTTCAATGGAAACAAAACTTAACTACAACCTGTGAAAGAGAATGAAGAATATTCAGTGTAAATATGAACTTCTTGTTTGACTGCAAAAAACAAAGCAGTATGCCTGTTGATTGCTATGAGAAACATGCAGAGTGATTACCCAGGGTCATTGAGCTTTCAATATTGAACCACTTTCATGGGTTTTTTAAGTAATCAATTTGATCTATTTAAAAAAAAAAAAACACCTTAATTCCTACTGCTGGGCTAAAATTTCAGTACATGTCTTTTGCAGGTCCTCAATGCATACATACAGTTACACATCACTTATACTTCGGCATTCATGTTTTTAAGATAATAGGTTTTCTTCAAGATTACCACAGAAAAAAATCCCCAGAAAACAACAAAACCTAGCGTTCTAGTACTACATTGATTCAATCATTCCTGTGATCTAAATTCTGGTTATTTTTTCTGAGGTCTGCCTGTTTATTCCACTTGAGTATATATCATCTAATTTTTCATTGCAGTCTTTTTCCATCTTAATTTTAAAACTAAATTTCTTGTCTCTGAGGGCCACGAGTGTAGTTGAGTAAGATCTCAACAGCATTTTTGACGAGGAAATCACGCATTTTAGTTCCTTACTACGACTTCTAATTTGAACTTATTCTAGCCAACAAATTGTTATTTGCATGCTCCATAATTCACTTTTGCCCTGCTTCCCACCTTTGCTTTCTCATTTGTGAATCTATCTTCACAAAGAAACAGATAAGCATGACTTACTAATTATAAAACAAATAGAGGTTCTCTATATTTAAAGATTTTGTAATATTATGACATACCTAATTCAGCTATGCAGTATAATTTATGTTCATTGTTAGTTATGCTATACAGTTTTTGTGTATAAAAAGTTTTAAAACTAGAAAAAATACAGAACCTCATCTAAAGCTAGTAAACCAATGGAAAATATCTATACAGTATCAACAGATTCTGAATTAGGTCCAGAGGGAAACTTTGTGAAAACTGATCTATAACGCACACATTTTGTATACAAATTATTGATAACAACCACTCACACCCTCTTAACCAAAATGAAACTGGAACACTAAAATTAGATTACTTACAATGTATAACGTTTGATCTTGAAGCTCTCGACTCGCAACAGCTTGTTTAAACAGACGTACAAAGTCATTTAAATTATCACAAGGCACATGAGAAGTCTTTTCTGTCTCAGAAGAACAGCTTTGCAACTGGATAAGAATTTCTTCTAAAAGAAGTCGTGAAGTAAAGTATTCCACACAGTTCACAAACACATGAGGAAGCTGAAGGGGATTAAAAAAAAAAAAAAAAAAAAAAGACAACCCCATTTGGCTTTTTCAGTGTAAATACTGCAAAATCAGTTTTCCCTTCCAGATGCAACAATGAAAGAAATCACATCCTGCCAACAGAATACAGAGCGTAAACCAAAAAACCTTGCCAAAAAAAGAACGATTTCTTATGTACCTAGTCAAAATATTATATACCACAAAGTAAAGAGAGATCTGATGAATTCTCATATGAACCATACAGTGTATCTTCTAACTATGTTTAAAAATCACGAGCAATACACAAAAAGAAAACTACATAGTATTTAGATCAAAGAAAATGCTACACAATTGTAACACATTACAGTATCATAAAATAGTCCATTACAAATTACAGTGTCTGGATAACATGAACTTATAAAGAAAGTAATGTAGGAGCACACTCCCCAAAATTACTCTGAATGTTTCCGGCATTCACTGCATACAAATGATAAAGTGTAAGCTTCTGTATCAGACACATGTAATCAGCCTGCCTGTGCAGAACATTTTTAGAAAACCAGATCTTCTCCGAGTAAAGAGAATGTGAAAAAAGCAGAGCATGAGATACATTTTATGGCAATCCATAAAATGTACCTCTAAGTATACCACATTAGCAATATTGAAAAGTTCAAGTCATTTGCCTATAAACGAAAGACACAAAATGTACAAAATTACAAAATGTAATTTTCTAGCAACTCTATTTTTAAGAAATAGATTATTTGCATCACTACATACTTTCTGGTAAGGCATATGCCTTTTTTTTTTTTTAACTGAACATTAAAACCTCGAGAAAACATTAGTCATTCATGTACATAAGCACTACTTGCAAAGTTAAACTTCTGAAACAGGTATGTGTATGTATAACAACAACAAGAACAACAACAAAGTACATCATTCCAGTCTCTCTACTTAAAATACAACATATGGCATACAATTCAGCAGATGTGGGAAAGTATGAGGATATGCTGGCAATCCACTCAGACAACGTGTAATAAAAAGCTTTCTTATGATTTTGAACACTCTTAAAAGAAAGTGGCTACACCTCCAAAAGGACCTATTCAAAATGCTGCACCTCCATAGCAGAAGGAAGGCTGGGTAAGCTGGGTGCCTCAAATGTGATTCACAACACCACATTATGTAGGAGGTACCTGTACTTGGCAACAGAAAGTTCTGTAGAATGAGCTGCTGCTTAAATCCTGTTCCTTTCTAGGGTCTGGCCACATCTCTTGGTATGTTGCAAGTTGGTAGCACAATGTCAGGAGCATTGCACAAAAGGCTACTGCATGAAAGAGGATCATGACCACTGCCTTCCACCATTCTCCCTCTATAATTTTTAATGAAAGGTACAAGATCACTGTGTTTTGCATAAAACCCGGTCCTGCAGATATGTGATAAATGCACTCTGGGCATGCCTAAAGTATCAGGGCTATGAGAACACACAAGTGGAAATTTATGGTTTAGGCATGAAGCAGGCACCTGTAACTGGATTTAAATCCCTGAAGTATGTGACTGACAAAAACAGGCACTAACAGGTTTAGATGGAAATTTCTGTGATGCCACCCTTCAACATAGGAGGACTTTAAAACCTGCTTTGGGAAAAATTAGAAAAGGGAATAAAACTATCATGAATAAACACATTTGCTAGCAGTAAAAGAAGGGCCATAAAAGTGGAAAGAACCTAGTACTTAAAAGTCTTCTGCCAGCACTGCAATGGACTTAAAGCCGTACCCCTCTACATCATTCTTCAAGACAACTATTTTTCTAAGAAACATGCATTCAGCCACAATGACCCACTAATTTTATGTAGTTCAGACTCTTACATGATGTGTAAAGAGGAGGTTTCTCTGCCTGGAGTCGTTGCAACTGAAGTCAGTCCATTCCTGACAAACTTCTTACTTAAGGTTAGTAACATACAGCAACTACAGTATTAATCCCTGAGGATTTAAGTCATCTCCCAGCAGACAACATGAAAGTAGGTTTTTTTCCTTAATAGTTGAGGGGAAGAAAGTTTGCAGTCCCAGCTTCCTAGGAATGTAAGGCTCCGAATTCAAAACCGTACAATGAACTGGGCTAGGGCTCCGAATTCAAAACCGTACAATGAATTCTCAGTAGTTTCCATTTCACATATTCCAACAACATCTGTCTTATCAGTCCTCCTTGACCTACTTCTTACTTACTCCTACACTGTTTTTTAAGAGCAGGAATCCAAAAGAAGTTTATCTTGGATGGTGAAGCTGAAAAGGAACATATGGTCCTAACATTTATGAAAGTGATGCTCATACAGGAGGAAATAGCAACAGTACTGGCATGGGAGATAAGAGCCATCCCACCAGCAAAAGACCTGGTAATGCCAAGCTTAGTAAACGCAAACGCTCCTAGGGAATTAATTCTATTACATTAGAAACTGTGAATGACATCCTGTTTCTTGGGGTTTTTAACTCAAGTTTTTAACTTAAAGCTGATTCATGAAGCAAAAGAATAATCATTTATCGTTCAGGAATTAAATCAATTGTTCCTATGCAACATTGCTCCAACATTTTAGAACTCCTGCATTGTTTCTTTTTCCAAGTGAAAGACAGAGTTTCCTGCTTCTACTAGAGGGCTAATTGGAACTAACCAAATTTGCTACAATGAATACAACATTCTCCCCAAGTCTGCAAATACAACTATCAGTTTCTGGAAGAATGGCAGTTGTTTGGTACTCAGCCAGTGATTTTCATCATTTCAGACTCACTTTTTTTTTTTTTCTCCCCTGCAAACGTGTAGAGCTTCTATGTTTGCTTTGAACTCTTTCAACAAATTTACTAAGTTTAAGTTCTTCGGCTGACATTTAAATAGATCACACACATCCAACAATACAATTAAAAATGAGTTTGTAAAAACAAATAAAATTCCACTATGGTAAACTCTTCTCACTGTTCTTCATATACACTCTCACTCTCTTCATATACAAGTCAAATTAGTTTAAAGCAGAATTTACAAGATGATTCAAAAAAGGTATACTATAAGTGACTCTCAGATTGAACTGGAATCATCATAAGAGTACTTATTTGTCACTGGAGCTATTTCAGGTTAAGGCCCTTCTAGAGATCTGAACGAAACTTGGCTCCTTTTTCCCTTTTAAACTTTCTTAGAACAGTTACAAGATTTATATTATATCTCAGTATGTACAACTTCATTTTATCCAAAGTGCACTAGTGAGAAGAATGATGCGTTCATCACACAGTAGGTGAAGGAAAAGAATCAAGAAGGCACAAACGACTGAGGAAACAAACCATTTTGAGAAAGCAAAAGCTAGTTTGAGGGACCATCTGTTACAAATAAATTCTAAATTCAATATCCATTGTGAACATTCTTACCTGTAAGGTGTTTAGAAGAGTTTGCATCACATAGGTCTTTCCACTAGATGTATGTCCATAAATAAAGATGGATGGAAAACTAAACTGCTGACGCTAGGAAAAAATAAAAAGTTGTTGCTGTTTCAATTATTCTTCTTTTTCATTCAATAGATAAAAGATTTACCAGTGAAGTCTCCCTCCAAAAGAAAAGTTACCTTTTAAATTGAGGTATTAAATACAAAATATGCCAGTTATTATGGAATCAGTATGATCAAGTTTTATGTTTCGTCTTCACTGAAATCCTGGGAGAGTAAGTCCCAACAATCAAATATCGCATAAAGCTGCCAGCGAAATGCTATAGCATGAGGATACATTTTTCATGGGAAAAGCAAAACAAACAAAAAAACCCTAACCCAAAACAAACAAAAAACCCCACACACACACCAAGAGAGAAAAGCAGTGGGCTCTTAATTCAAATAAGTTAACTAACTGAAACAACAGCTTGGCAAGCACAAACTACAAGCGTTACATTGTCCTAACTTCTGCAGACACTACAAAGTGCTTTTATTTCCATTAGCACCAAGCAGAAAAGAATTAAAATAGTTTGGCGGAGGAGATGGTAAAGGAGCTTGCTCTTCTCTCACAAGGCAATATTTGATATAATACCTCTATTTATTTAATGTTACTGATGCTGTATATTTCATGGATTGGTGTTTTTTTTAAGATGGAATGAAAATTAACTCATTCTTTTCATTTCATTCTGAACAGGTACTTATTTTTGTGGTTTTCTCATTTTTAAGAGCCCTGACTTGAAAAATGAATACAAAAATAAATCTGACAAACACTTTATGAAAAACAATGATATTCAATTAATCCAAGATGAAGGCATTCTTGTGCAAGACATGCGGATACTCTATCCTGCATATTTAATAAGAATTTAAGTATCTATTTTTTTAAGACTTGTACCACTGTGCTTGTAATAAATACATAAAACTTAAATGCTGTAATTTGATGTAATTATTATTATCTATAATTAAAGGCAAAATCAGACACAGATACTAATTTCCATTTTGTTAGCTGAATGTAAATCAATATATCAACTGCTTTTAAGTTTGCAGATAAAAACCTCCATTACTTTTTACCACAGCTTTGCGAAGCAGTAACAGAATCAATTAACAAGCCAGTGATTTCCAAATCTTATGGCCAGCAACAGAACCAAGAAGCAGACCAATTTCAATAAAAACATGACCGATTTCATGTACTTAGAATTCAGGCACGCAGACATTAGATTAACAGGTCAAAACCAAACAGAATTTCTACACTGACACTGAAAAAAAAATACCCCAGAACTTTAGACTAGGGAAGAAGACAGACTTCCTGGTACTAACTGGCAAAGATGACACAGAGTCATGGAGATGCCTGGCTTCAGAGACAGCAAGGCACAAATAGCTGTAAGTTTGTTTGGGTCCTTCTAGCTGCAAAACAGCTTTCAACCTTCAAACTTACTAGAATCTACCTGCCAAACACTAATGTTAAAGATAGGTAACAAAAAAAAAAGAAAAACAACACAGAAACCAAAAAAGAGACAACCTAAGTATGTTCATAATGACACCAGAAAAATGCCCTTAAATTTCTACTCTCCCCTCTGAGACAGCAGGACTTCTTTGTTCTATTTAAACGTACAATACAAAAACTCTACCTCTCCAAATATTGACAGCAACGTAGACACTTGGGATTCTCGACAAGGCACCAAACTTTCCAAGTGAAGCAGTGTAGCTGCTGGGTACGCCGGATGTTCAAGATTAGGCATTTTGATGTTCTGTAGTCAGTCACCTAAACATGCATGTCCCATTTGAGGTGCACAGACAAGAAATAAAGTGATCTGGAAAAAAAAACCAACCCGTTTTAACGATCATTTGTTGTCATAAACGTAAAGGAAGAAAATGAACAGGAATTGACATAAATCTTAACAGACATTCTAGCTCAGGATAATGGTATAATAACGATAGACTTAAGAGACTTCATCAAAATCGAACATTACTATGTAAGGCATTATACAGACATTTTCACACCAGACAGAGTCCAAAACATCAAATAAAAAGCAAAAGGCATACAGGGTATGAGCAAATCAATATAGCAAAGAATTGTCATAGTTTAGTTAACTGGAGAAATACATATTTAGTTCTGGTTTTACATACATTTAAAAGTAGCAAGGGAATAAAATGAGGAAAGTAGATTAGTCACAGATCATCACCTCCCTGGACAGCCAAGAAACTAGGATTTACAAGTAAAAGAGAAGAGGTAGGGCATAAGAAAAGATGAGGATGACTAAATAATAGCTCTTCACGTGTTAACAGCTTACCCCAGCTTAAAAGCAGCAGAGGAAGATGAAGAAAATCCAGCTGATGGTAAAGACTGGAAATACTCCTTAAAAATAGTAGGAGCCCAAACCAGTTAGATAATACTGTAATAATAATTACAGTCTACCTTTTAGACAAGAACTAGTCAAGGAAGACTGAAGGTCTTGATTATCCAAACACTGGGAACGCTGGATTTTAATGATAAAACATGGAAAAACACCTCAACCAAAAGATACTACTTTGTCTGCAGCTTCTAAAACTGCTGGAAAGATGGTACATTTGTCTGTGATGATACAGACAACATGCAGAGAGAGAACTGAAGTAACCTGATGAGCTGGATTCTGACTTTGTGAAATGTAATGTAACTTGACACCCAAAATGAAAGTTTGGAAATTTAGGTAGTGCAATAAAGATATCTCATCCACAGATAGGAGTATCTGTAAGTTGTCCAGACAAAAATAATAAACAAAGCACTCCAAACACATTTAAATATAAGTATTTACAGCCAAATATGTTATGCTGGGCATAAGTACAATACCACATGAGAAAAGATTAGGTTAACAGAAGGAGATCAGAAATAGCATGGGAAATGGAAAACAAACTGTTCTGAAGCAAAAAAACAATATTGGGTTGCACTGACAGTGGAGACATTGGGCTACAAGGAGGTTCATAAATACAAATGTTATTTATGGAAATACTTAATCGGGTTCGTTTTCGGACCAATCTCTATTAAGTATTTCCATAAATACATTTGAGGAAAGATGTTTTTATTTTATTTTTACATTTCACTTTCAGTGTTTTTTGAAGTAAAAATTGGGATTGTAGAATCATCAATAGAAAGACAAGTGGAATAATAAGGAAAAAAAGGATAACCCAAATAACAGAAGTAATGCCAGTATGATGAAATTCAACACTTCAAATTACACATATTTGTAAGTCATCACATAACACCTAACAAGGACTACTGTTAGGTATGAAAAAAATATAAGTCTAAAGCAACCTGAAACATAAGTCAATCACATAGTAAGTATGAGAAATCAAAGTAATGAAGCTATCAAAAAAAAAAACGCATAATCATATGTATCAGGCAAATTAATTCCCATACAGACAACCATACAAATATCCTTGGAACATTTTATCAGGTCAGCAAGATCAGCTTTGAACAGGTCTGCCAACCTGTCCACTCTAGCTACTCAGGTATCTATTCAAAATGAAATGAACATAGAAAAAAAATTTGAACAGCTTGATTAAGGCTGCTCTCTAAAAATGAACTAGGAATAAATATCGAGGAAGAAAAAAAATTTAGATGGTAGCCCCCAGA